AGGCATTTCATTTTAGTCCTCACGAGTGACAAGTGACAACTCATCTGCATTTTGTATTTGTAATCGAGGATAGATGTAGATGTCTGTGGGCCGCAGTAACCACTTACCGTCAGGTGGGCTGTGTGCCCGTTTGTCGCCCTATCCTATAAAAAGATTTGTCTGATTCGGTACAAACTGAAGTAGTCACGATACTAGATGAATGTAACACAATACGACAAACAGACGAACCGAAATTACCTATAACGGTTTCTTGTATGATGGTGGAACCACAAAAATAAAAATGGTAACAGGCATCGAAGCGCACAAGACAAATTACTATGGTAGAACAACATGGCATCACGTGGGTTGATGGATGGTACACCATAACAAGAAACAATGGACGTTATATGGAGAGGAATCTAAGGATAATTAATATATTGCCGCCGTAATCAATCACCTGTCGAATCAAAAAAAATTGCGTCGACAAGTAGCATTGGAGTAAAAAATTCCACATACATATTAACTTCTATAAGCTCTTAACTTTTTAAAGTGTAGTTTAAACCTAAATTATTCAAAAGAATACGATTTATAATTAACTCTATGGGATATATTCATAAATACACTCTTAAAATCTAATAGTAATTTTATAGTCGATAGAAACAAAATTTACATAAGAAAAGCATGTTATTATACTTAACGTCCTCCTAACCTTCTAGGAGGTACGATCTAGTTTCTATAACTATCTCATAAATACAAATAAATAAAATAATATGTAGAAATATACCATTTTATACCTACATTACAAGCATAAGAATTCATAAGAAAGTTGGCCAGTTTTTAAAACTTAAAATATCGCACGTTTTTTTCTTTTAAATCGAATGTCATTTGTCAATGAGACTGTTGTACCAACATATTTAATTTACAGTGAATTATTACCGTAAGTGTTACCATTTATAATAAAATTTATGTTCAGTGAATAACCACAGGGTACATAAGATGCGTATCATATTTCGTAAACGAAGCTGTAATATGACCTAAAAGTTGTAGGCTCAGATAAATTTTCCTCAGTGGTTAATGCTTACAGTTTCAAGCATATTAATAAATACGCTTTACTTGGTAATGGAATGCAGTACACTTTGCGTTACTATAGCGATTTAAACGTACCAGGCGATGTTAAATGCCTTAACGATGTTACTCGGCCAGAGATCCGCGATAGACGTACACTCCTCCCACTTGATACGCCGGACAGGATCTGCATTGAAAACAATTTTGCGTGTCCGATCTATGCTTGCCCGTAATGAATTGCAAACGTATGCGACGTGTCGCCCGTCAACGTCAGCCCACCGACAATTAGGGCGGTGCAATTACGACCAGTCGTCGACCGAGTCAGCCGGTGGGTCAGCGAAGCGATTTCCCGACGGCTCCAACGACTGGCGCCAACAGTCCACGTTGTGTAACTCTTAAACGACCACGCATTAACACGGCGGCCGTCGAGGTCGTTGCTCTACACACGGCAACGTAGATAATTCTGCAAATTGTAATAGTTACGCGCTATCGGTAAAAGTGATACGGAAGATTCGATTGTCAACAAGATCTCGCATACCGTTATACGGGTTTCGTAATTCATTAATCTTCTTCGCGCCGTGTGGGTGTCGCCGAAAGATAAACATTTGTCTGTCTCGAAAATTTTCTTTTGATTTGATGTTGTATTACTAACATTAGTATCTTAAATGTTTTAACTTGCTAAAACAACAATTATGCTTAAATGTAGGTACATTTTTTGTTAGTTATTTTTAAAATAAAAATGAACTACATAATAAATTGAACTAGAAATTGGCAATTGAATTAATAGAAGACAATTCCCGTTACTGGTAACCACTATACGTGGTGGAGCTACTCTGCAGCTACATTATGGTTATAGCACGAATGGGTCGGCTCGACCGGGGAAGGACCACGCTCTCACAGAATATCAGAATAAAATAGCAGCTTTATCCTGTTGTGTTTCGTATGGTGAGTGTAGAGATCCGGAGACCCTTTTTTACTGGAAACGAGGCATTCCATCTTAGTACTCAGGGGTGACAACGCATCTGCCTTTTGATTCTTAATCGAGGATAAATGTAGATGTCTATGGGCCACAGCATCCACTTGCCATCAGGTGGACTGTGTGCTCGTTTGTCACCCATATTCTATAAAAAACTGATATCAAAACTAAATGTGGAATACAGCCCATAGTGGTGATCACTACATTATCTGAAGAGTAAAGGTTTTCTTAAAGATCTGATAGGACTAAATCAATTCTTTGACGCAAAATTGAACCAACCGTAATCAAAATCGCGAAATCGTTGGAGCCATTTCTAAAAACAAATGCAAGTATGTGCCGTGTAGTACGTGCGAAAGGATCCAGTACCAGATACCTATGGGTATCGTAAGAGGCGGCTTAAGTTAATATCCAAAAATCTCTAGTGGCTTCCGACAGGCAGCGGTATAAGCTCAAGTATATAAAAAGTATATAAAATTCAAAAAGTTACTGTTACTATCTATATAGGTCCCATTACTGGGCACAGGCCTCCTCTCATTTCTGAGAGGGTTTTTAGGGCAAGGAAATGTTCGTCACGCTGCCTCAATGAGTATTGGCGAACTACACGTGTCTTCGAAATATTTTTTTTATTTCCCAGACATGCAGGTTTCCTCACGATGTTTTCTTTTACCGTCGAGTACGTGGTAAATCAGCACTTAAAATTGCAATTAACAATTTTATTGGTGTCGGCGGGGATCGAACCCGGGTTGCACGCGTACTATGAAACTTATTACGAGCGCTTAGCCCCTGAGCTACAACGGCTCAAGTATATGCTCGATGTGAAATACTCTGACCACCGACTCCAGGCACGTTAAATTAGCGATAGCAAAACATGAATCAAGTCTGTCAATACAAATACGAAATAGCTTACTATAATATATATGGAAAGAAAATGCGGCAAGTACTACTCTTCCACCTCCACGAAAAGGCGTTTACTATAATTAATCATTATTATGTTTACAAATACTAGTACTTAACTTAACACAAAGTTTGTTTATATTTCTATGTTAATTTTTAAAATAAACCTCTTGCTTAACCTATTATATTATTCAGTTTATTCATTCATTTAATCAATCATATTTAATATTCGAAGTTCATACACCCTTAAACAATCAAACAAGCAATTAATTATGAGCTGGTAAATTGCTAATTATATCGTAGACATAAACAAAACACGCAATACGGTCTTTATCCGCACTTGTTAAGGAATTAGTTATAATAATATGAGGTTACAATTTGTAGAGCTAAAAATATATTTCCCTGGTGTAATATAAAAACGACGACAACCATGACTTAAAGAAAGAAGCTATCTATAGATTACTTCTATAGAATATAATATGTATATAAAAACTCAGAAAAGCGACGACAGCAGTAAATATATGAGGAGAAGAGATATTTATACCAACAATAATTTCCACGATATGTCTAAAACACTTAAATCTTAATCTCAGGTCGAGACTCAGAAACTCAGAGAGGCTTTTACGTGGTAGAGCGATGCGGCAGCCTTATTAGTATTATAGTTATAGTACGAATGGGTCGGCTTGAACGGGGAGGGACCACACTCTTTAGAAATACTAGCGTAAAATAGCAACCCAACACTGCTGTGTTTCGTTTGGTGAGTGCAGAGAACCAGTAATCTACTGGAAACGAGGCATTCCATCTTAGTCCTCACGGTAACAACGCATCTGCATTTTGATTTCTAATCGAGGATAGATATAGATGTCTATGGGCCACAGTAACCACTGACCATCAGGTGGGCTGTGTGCTCGTTTGTCACCCTATTCTATAAAAAAGATCACAAAGTATACTAACAATAACGCAGTATGACAAAAAGTTTACATTATAGTAAAATTAGTGCATAACGTGGAATTTTAATCGATATCTTTGAACTTACAAATACACAAAATAATGCACCTGATAGTAATTTAAGGCGAGCGAACGTAAATATTTTCTTAAATTATCTAAACTTATACTCAGACAAATGAATCTCGCACTTTTATCACAATTAATATTAAATTAAATCAATTTATAATAAGCAGCCACAAGTACCAATAACAATAAGTTAAACGGCAAAGAATGTAAATAAAAAATAATAAACCAAATAAAGTGTAACCGGTGGTAATATTATATATCATAATAAACTTCACCATATAATTTTAGTTCGCAACCTCTTTACCATGAAATTACATCAGGCCTTGACCTCGTTGAGTCACGAATTATTTTTACTTAAAAAGCTCGTCAAACTGCTCATATTTTTAAAGAAAGTTATAAAAAGACAACTATTATGAACTCGCAATTTCTAAGTCATTATTAACTCTCTATTTCTGGTAAGATATACAGGCAGTCGAAGGACGCAAGTTGAGTTGAGGTTGAGGTTGAGGTTGAGAAGGATCAGGACCGAGTTTTCTGGCAAAAGGCTGTAATAATTATGATAGTGATTATGAACTCCTTAATAATTTTTTTATTATGAAATTACATTTAATAATAACACTTAAACGGTTTATTAACCTTTATTTATTTGTCTTCCTCTTTTAATAAACAAATGGGGATATAGGTGAACCAGATATTTTGGACAGATTATATATGGTCTTATCTTTGCAGTATCATTCCAAAAGTCTGACATAGTTTTTCTTATCGCATCTAGGTACGTACTTAAACTATATTTCCCAAACATACATTCGTCCACCAAAATCTAAAAAAATATATTTCTCATCAAATAAATAGTACCCAGGTATTTATTTCAATTATTGTGTCTTTAATATTAATAGCACTGACAGATAGACTAACAATGACAATTATAATAAATGTGTAAAATACGTTAAATAGGCACTACGTAATTTTATTAAAATTATATTTTGTAGAAATTCTCTACATTTCTAGAAAAAGACTACATAGATTTATACCGTATTAAACGGCGATAAATTCAATATCACTGGATACTAACCCGATTTTCCACTTCGCGGGCTTCCGAGCACCACTACCCTTATACGATTTACAGTCATCTTCATTTGGAAAGTTTAGTTTTTCACAAGCGATTAGTCTCGATTAACCGGTCATATTCATCACATACATTGATCACATCAGTCCAGATTTTCACTTTATTCACGGTACACCAAATGAATATCGACTAAGTTATCGTAAACAATTTCGAGATTATTACGGTGGTGGTATGAGCGACGCGTGGCAAGTGGGCTCGTCTAAGTGCCGCAACGTTTGCCGTGCAACTGCCGGCTTTTCTCCGTTGCTCGCATCAAAAACGCGTGCTCAGCCTCCGATTATACAGCCTCCGTTCTAGTTTTGCATACGGACATACAACAAGGCATATATGCATCACCGTTTAATTTAAATCCAAAGCGACAGCCACGCATTCTTTCTAAATATTTTACTTCTATGCCTTTGAATTTTTTTCGTTTTATTTTTTCTATTAGGTATGGTTCTACCATTTATTACGTACAATAACACACGTTACACGACCGCGGAAGCAAAACACGTTCCGTTTAGACGACGAAATGATGAAAAGCGACTCTACTAGCAGATAAACTAGCAGAAGAGAGAGTGCAACATAGAATTTCTAGCGAAAGCATTTTTGTTAGTTAAAACTGTTAAACAAACTTTAGAATGTGCACAATCATCGGAAGATCAGACATACTCCAGATTGAGCGTTTCTAGGATATGTCAAGAAGACATCGACTCGGAACTGCCAATTGCAATAAATTAATTCACACTAAGCCGTAATTGGATCCGATCCGCCTATGTCTGCTAACCTGTACTCACGCCCTACGTTCAAGCTAAGATTAGCGGCGGCACGCGGGACCCGCTACAGTAGCAATTTGTAAATGTAGATATTTTAGAAGACCGTGCAATGCTTATCGACATAAGATATAGTCGTATTTATAAATTTATGGTATGATATGGGAAGTAAGAACTTATAAAAATTAACACAAAGAAAATTCTTATGACATACCTATTGTTCTTCAGACTAAACTACGTTACGGATTACGGATACCTTTCGGCAACTAAGAGTAAAGGATGTTATTTAATTATACTGACTTGTTTTCGTCTTAATATTTTTATCTAACGTAGATTAAAATAGATTTAGCTGAACATCATAAAATTCTGAGAACTCCATTAAACTCTGACCTTACTAATACGTAATAATTTCATATATTTACTCGAACACTACACATTTGATAAAACTGCTGTGCTTTACTGCACCCATGGTCACGTGGGGACTGAGATATTTGACGTATCCCAATATAATTTAGTACATAGTTTTTGAAAAATCAATATTCAAAAACTGAAGGTAGCCGGGCTAACTATGACATTGAGACGTCAAATATCTCAGTCCCCCGTAGCCATGAGTGCTACAAAGCATCCGAAATGTCGCGTAATAAAAAGTAAGTTAATGCTATAAAATCCATATAAATAGTCTTACTTATAAGTGTTATTATTTAATTTAACCACTGCTTTATCAAGTGCTGGCTGAAGGAAAACATCGAGAGGATACGCTACTGTGTATATTGCTACGATATTACCTATATGATATTGCATTCATATAGTATATCTCGTTTTAATATCAGTATTTAAAATACAAAATGTTAATCGTCTTGGCTAATAAATACAAAACCTTTTTTTGCTTAGCTTTGTTCCCTTATGACTATGTTTTTAGAAGAGCCAGCTTGCCTGCTGTACCAGCACGGACAGTTATTCTTTCAAGAAACTTATGCCATCTGGTACGTGTATTCTTGGAAAAGCCTACGTCCAACAGTGGACTGAAAAAGGCTGTAGCTATTTTTTTTTATATAAAATATTAGTAATCTTATTAATTAACATTACTAATATTCCTTTTAACCACTCCTGGTGAGCTTGAAAATGCTTGTGTTAGGAGTGGTTCACGATAGTAGTCAAATGACGGATTCGAAACCCCGACCTTTTGAGTTCGCGATCCGCGCCCTGCCATTAGGCTACTGTCGCTTCAATTATATTGAAAGTTGAATTGTGCGAGGATACCGCACGATACCATTTGAGGCGACAGCCCTGGCTCGCTTTCCACCTCTGGACATACTAGCGGATCCATGCGAGGGTGTGCGACCGGACACGTGTCTTCCGCCAGCGCGGTGGCAGTGAGCTAGATAAGGTATTCAAAGGAGTTAAGCGGCAGAAACGGCTTAACGCATTCGCAACGTGGCGTGCTCGTATCTCTGAAGAGAGTTATGCGCGCAAATGCGTTATTGCAACAATCCTGCCGCACTTCAACGAGTTTTTATCGACGAGCAGAAAGACTCACCTGCATACTTACACACATAATGACCGGACACGGGTGCATCGGTGATTATTTGTGTAATATCAGACGCGAAGTGACGTCGAACTGTTTCCACTGCGGTGGACAGGACCAGGACTTCGCATCCCATACGCTAGCAACATGTCCAGCATGAGAACGGTAGCGAACGATCCTGATAAGCCGGATCGGTCGGAACCTCTCCCTGCCAGCGGTCATGTCGGCTGAACAGGGACTCTGGGTGGAGGGCCGTAGTCGCCTTCTGTGAATCCGTTATGGTCCAGAAGGAGGCTGAGCGGTGTCGAGGGTACAAAGGGTGGACAGATCCTACTCTGAAACGACGTCGTTAAGGCATTCGTCACGGTACTCCCCTTGATGATGGTGTTCCCCTACCAGAAACAGGCCTCAGGGGTTAAGAGCACTCAGGGCGGGGTCCCTAATCGTCCAGCAATATAAGACCTGAGGAGGACGATGACGCAGAAGTGGTCTCGAGCACCGTAATAACACTGCAGGGGTGCTGGGGTCAGTAAGGATTATCCCCGGGACGTGCTTTAATAAAGCAAAGCGAGAGAGGGCCCGGATTGCCTTCTGAACGGAGATCCCGGGAACGATTATATATACGCTGATGGTGACCACCGGGGATTTTGGCCGGTAAGGGCCCAGCATAAACTTTCTGTTGCCCCCGCAGCAAAAGGTATCACTGAGGATTTTCCCACGATAAAAAAATATATTAAGTGTGGCCGTATGTTATGACTTCACATCATCATCATCATCATCATCATTACAGCCCTTCACAAGTCCACTGCTGAACATAGGCCTCCCCCAAGTAATGCCACAAAGCACGGTCCTGAGCCACCTGCATCCATCGACTTCCTGCATGTCTTACCAGGTCGTCACTCCATCTAGTGGGGGGTCGCCCTACACTACGCCTACCGGTACGAGGCTACCACTCGAGAACCTTTCTTCCCCATCGGTTATCGGTTCTTCGAGCTATATGGCCGGCCCATTGCCACTTCAGCTTACTAATCCGTTGGGCTATGTCGGTCACTCTGGTTTTACTGCGGATATCCTCATTTCTGAGTCTATCACGCAGAGAAACTCCGAGCATAGCCCTCTCCATAGCTCGCTGAGCGACCTTAAGCGTCCTCATACGGCCAGCAGTGAAGGACCACGTCTCAGATCCGTAAGTCATCACTGGCAACACGCACTGGTTGTACAATCTAGTTTTTAGAGATTGAGGTATACCTGACGAAAAGATATGCCGTAATTTCCCGAACGCTGCCCAGCCGAGTTGAATCCGTCGATTGACCTCTCGGTCGAAGTTGGACTTACCTTACTGCCGAGTAGTGGCGGTTAAGAATATCCACTACCCCATATCTTCCCGTGGGTGTCGTAAGAGGCGACAGAGGGAGACAGGCAGGAGATGGGCAGCAGCGTCTTCCTGATGACAACTGTGACGTAATAAAAAACTGCGGTTGCCAACCCGCTCGCCAAGCGTGGCAACTATGGCAAATACCCCCCAATGAATAAATACACAAACAGACGGCCCCCAGTCCCCGGCGGCCCCGCTATTCCTGGCTACGGTGGCGACCATGGTAACGGCGGGGCAGGGGGTGCTAAGAATCTCCGGTGGAGGTTCGGTTGCCACCTACGACGACTCGACCTGGCAACATATAACGCACGCACCCTGAGGACTGACGAGAAGATACTGGAGCTGGAAGAAGAGGTAGACAAGTTGCGCTGGCATATTATTGGATTATCCGAGGTCCGAAGAGAGGGGGAGGACACGGCAATCCTCGAGTCCGGCAACTTGTTCTATCACCGGGAGGGCGACCATCTGTCCCAAGGAGGTGTCGGATTTATCGTCCACAAATCTCTCGTCAACAACGTTGTAAAGATTGGGAGTGTGTCGACGAGGGTCGCGTACCTGATACTCAGAATCACCAAACGGTATTCGCTGAAGGTCATTCAGGTTTACGCACCAACCTCGGCACATCCCGATGAGGAGGTGGAGGAAATGTATGAGGATATTTCCAGAGCCATACATTCCTCCAAAACCTACTACACGGTGTTGATGGGAGACTTCAACGCAAAACTGGGCACAAGAGAAAGCGGTGAGCTGAAGGTAGGGAAATTTGGAGTAGGGCAACGGAACCGAAGGGGCCAGCAGCTGGCCGACTTTATGGAGAAAGAGGAACTCTTTATGATGAACTCTTTCTTCCAGAAGCGGCCCCACAGGAAGTGGACCTGGTCGAGCCCCGACGGTTCGACAAAAAAATGAGATTGACTTCATTATGACAACCAGACGCCAACTGTTCAGTGATGTCTCAGTGATCGCAAGGGTGAAAACTGGCAGCGATCACCGAATGGTTAGAGGCACACTGAACCTAAACGTTAAGTTGGAGAGGTCTCGTCTAATGAAGTCAACGCTCCGTCCCCCTCGTGCTCTAATCCAGAATCCCGAAACCTTTCAGCTCGAGTTACGTAACCGCTTCCAGTGCCTAGAAGATTGCAATGCAGTGGACGATATGAACGACAAGCTCGTGGAAACTGTCCATGCGGTCGGAGCTAAGTTCTGCAAGACCCGCCGCAGAAGAACACAAAAACTCTCCGATCACACTCTTAATCTCATGGCTGTTAGACGGGAGATGAGGCTGCAATCGTCAACAGATTTGACAGCATACAGGCAACTGAACAGACAGATCTCCAAATGCATACGGCGAGACTTAC